CAGTAAATCTGATGAAAATGTTTTAGCAGAATCAAACTCTTATGATCTCATATTAAGTGTCGTTGATCCTCACCCTGTAGTCAGTTCTTGTGGATTGTCTATTCAATGCGGGGAAATATGTTTTAAATAGAGACACATTAATTGTAACTTGGGGTTATGAGAATGACAAAGTCTGGACTTAAACTCAGAATCTTCAAAGAAAGGGAGGTGTTATATCGCGGCGAGAATTATGGATGGTAGTTTTCGGGAACTATTTATAGGCTAATACGATGTACATATTTTTACTGCATAAATGTTAAGTAACTAAGCTATACATATTCGTGTTTCCCTTGCAGCGTGGCGTCAAGTCGCAATGGACTATGAACACTGCTACAAAGAAACGCGTGCCAAATGACTCCATAAAATCCCCCGGAAGCCAAATATCAGAAGCAGTTAATAGACCAAGTCGAGATATATTTGCTGGCGATCTCGTGGTATCGAAAGAATACCGAGATCGTGCCAGGATACAAGTTTGGTTACAGAACGTAGCCGAATTCACGCGAAGTCAAAATCAAAGTGTGTGAATAATGGATGTTTTCAGCACAGTTAAACAAAAGCACATTAAAACAGTCACTGGTACAATTGGTTATAATTATAATTGTTTTCAATAAACCAATCGTGTTCTCGTGATAAATGTGAGTCACTACACCCACATTATAAGCTTTATTTTAACCCATAGACCATCATTATACGATTTGCAGCTCTTGAGTTAGACCCGGTCCATTAATTACAGCCTCCCACATTCACAGCCACTTTCGGGTGAATCTTGCACGAATGTTTATTTTCTGTTTTATGGTACGATGTGGTCCGTCTGGTTTGTATATAAACCCAGTATGTTTGAAATACATGACTCATATTGCGGAGGCTGAGACTGGTGTTCTGGACATGACAGGCAGAGCTATGCGGGAGGCAGGACAGATAAAGACTAGACTGCTCGTACGGTTGATACAGCCGATCAATCACTGTTCTCCAACTGCCACTAAATATGTTAAAAAGGCACTAAGCCAGAGGCTATAACACTCGCTCGACGTCATTTACCTCTTAGTGGTAATAAATTTCATGTGGGTTCCTGTGACACTGCATTTTTACGCTCGATTCTGTTAGAATTTATATACTCCCAAGGAGAGTGACCAGAGCTGTTCTACCTTCTTGTTGTAGGTCTTCTTCATGTCTAGTTCTTGTGACATGTCCATCCCACACCATCTATCGCCCCTTCAGAAATGAAGTTTTATTTCTCCATTTCCCAAGTTTCTTTTCTAGGTCTCTGGTCAGGACATAAACTAGTGTTTCGGCCTTGTGTAAGGTGTCTTCCTGCTGTCGTTCCGTCTTGGTTGGTTTGATTGCACCACTTGCTGTGTACAGTTCCCGTCACGTCAGTTTTTCCATAGGAGACTTTCTCTTTATCGTCCTACTGTTGAGTGTACTCATGTTTACGAATAGGAATCTCTGGACGAGAGCTTTCACAGATTCTTCTGCTTTCGCTTTTAATACAGCTCTTTTAAATTTGTTCATAAACGTTTGGTTTGTCTGCTAGATTGTGGATGATATGTTGAAGAGAGGATGTGTAGGATGGCATTTCGATAGGAAAATCAGTGAATATGAGGGTTGTGAATTGATATCCGTTAACAGTTACCACAGTCTCTGGTAGAACGTGTCAAGCAAATATATTCGTTAATTCTTCTGATGTTTTGTGCATCGTCCGACGTAATACTGGGAAGATTTCAGACCACTTTCGATCTGTGTCTACTCACATGAATTAGTACACTTCCACCGTTGGACCTGCAAAATCTGGATATAGCCTGAACCATGGATGCTCTCGATCTGGTCAATTTACGCCTTCGAATTCTGCTGGAAACGTCAATGCATATTGACACTGTTCACACATGTTTACTGTCTTCTGTGTGAGCGTTCACATTTGGCTGATATATTCACGTGCAATCGATTTCATTCGAGCTAATTAGTTATGGGTGGCATGAACTGAACACTTCTGTACTATATTGCTCACATGACCGTTTCACTCACTATTCTCAACAAGAGGATCTTTTGAAGGTTCGGTATTCTAACTGAAGAAGTTCAACTGAGTATCCATCCCAGACGGGAAATAACAGCAACAGCATTATTGCCGTGCATTTGGTCCCATCGATCACTTCCTAGTCTCAATTTCGATTACTCATTGTTATAACAAATGAATAAACATAAATTGGAATTATAATCTTCAACATTACATAGTGTGCCTTCCTCATAAGTTGGTGTGAAAATAAGAAAGTCAGACCATCCAGTTCAGAATATACAAATATGTTCTCTCCAGAATGATATATCCGTGCAATATCATTTAGTGTTTATGATGAAATCCAACCCGCAACATTGTTCATTGAGGCTTTGCTAGGTTAAGAGCGGTTACCAGTCCACTTAGTATGCGAACGGAATAAAGGCTTGTGACCGAAGACCAATAAGCTAGCTATCTTGATGCGTCCCAACCCACTAACTAGAGTGAGATGTCGGAGCTTGGAACGGGAATGTATATCCCGTAAGCCAGAAGCACGATTGAATAATAACAGACACAAATCAAACGTATATACACAGCATAAAACTGTCCTTGGGAGGCGTTGCAAAAATAGCCTACTTAAATACACAACGGACCAATAGCGTTAAAGATTCTGCCAAGTAGGAAATACGGCATGAAGGTGAAAAGAGAGCTTTTGGCGCGAAAACAAGTAAATTAGAGTTTCCAAAATCAAATTACAAAATTAATGCATTTACCAAGTGAGTTCTGGGGACCCAACATCCCCAACATAAAATAGAGAAGAACTTGATCACACTAAATTATATGTATGAAAAATGCATCATATGTGACAGATACTTTATCATCTCGTAGAAGTAGTCAAAGCCGCATGACAACATAAAATCACATGGTGTTAATATAGTGTTTCTCAAGATAGGCGATCAGAGACGTAGATAGAAAATTTGAGATGTGTTTGGTAGGAAGACAGAATTCTGACATTCGTATTTCCACAGAAGACAAGGACAACGAGGTTGCACCGAATAAGCTGTGTGACATCGCACAGTAAGTCGAAACATTCCTCCACTTCTAATTCATGGAAATTCAAGGTTACCTACTGATGAATACAGCGCACTCCACAGTGAATAGAAGTCACGCATCCATGTAAAATCAATTATTATGCACTCATTAGACAAATCAATATACTGTTTAAAAGTAATTTGCCTCCTTGAAATAATTTGGAGCTGGATATTGTTTCGCAAAGAAATGTCAATGGTGAATCTAAATACATTGCTAATTATCACGGAATACAATGGTTTCCACCAGATTCACATGATGAATTGACTGGTTGTTAATCATTTTCTGTCACATGAAACACTCAATCACTAATGTCATTTGACAATTTCAAGTGTTTATTGGCCGATCACTGATGTCACGACCCGACCTATTCTAGTCGAGATTACAAAAGGTCATTCTTGTTGAATGATTTTCAGCTTGAGTGGACTATGGTGTCAGTTTGATTCCACGGATCATTTTACATCAGTTATGTTGACACTGGAAATAAACATTTGACACAACTACAACCAACGTTGAAACAAATCAACTGAAGTTGAGGAATACAAAATTACAATGTCTTCGATTATATGCTGGATCAAATCGACGTGGTTATTGTAATCGTTTTGTATATTATGAATTTTGATTTCTTCTCTTAATACACACTCGACTTCGATTCAACTTTACTCAGTGTGAAGCAAACTGTCACATTAGCGGTTCACTTATGAATAGTTGCACCTTCTGATCATATTTGAGAACTTTGTTGCTGCTGAACATCATTTAGAACTGTGATGAGCACATTTGTATTGAGCGTGGTGCAGTCGCGAGTATGCTTTACATGTTTATGTCTTAAGAATAAGCTGGTGTGTGAATGAATACGACTTGATTTTTCATTACTAATCATAATGCTTTATACTTTCACGACGAATCAAAATATCACGTCGTAAACATTTGCAATATATAAAAATGGTGATACACCAGAAGAGCTACTATAAAACATTGATACTCTAATCCTTCTTCTTAGGGAATTTTTGTTATCTGACAGTTAGCACATGAAACCCTAAAACAAAACTTTACCATAATGTCATATTCAATGAATAATAACGTAATTTTTAATGTCAAGTTATCGATTGATTCGTTTGCTTAATGTGTTACTGGATATTCAACCTCACTTTGTAAACAGAATTAAAGCCTACTATTTCTACGTTGCAATTATCATAGGGAATATTATTGTGTCGATTACATGGGATGGGTTTGTCAAATTAGTTTGGATTTTCTATTACTTATGTTGTGATCTCAAGTTTGATGATTGGATGAAATGTGTATTTCAGTGGTCGAGGAAATGTATGTATAATTAGTCTAGATGGCAAGACGTATGTTATAACGTCATGGATAATAAAACTCTCAGTGAATATCCACGGAATGAAGATAACGTTTTCATAATTAAACGACATTGAAGTTCGAATTAACGGGACAACAATTTCACCTATACCTCACTTTAGAATCTCATTTCGATGAACCTAATCATTCGAGATTATCATCTTAAATTCATATTTTTGTTATGCAGGGTTGAATGAAAGCCTATTGATACGGTGAAAATCAGTTGATAAGCCAACTACATTTATTGAGATGTCCAAAATAAATGAGTCTAATCAGGTTGTTATATTATTACAGTATGAATAATATTCCTTCGGTAATGCACAGAGCACTCACCATGAATAAAGTCTTTTGATGTAATCGTTATCAAAGTCTAATGAGTAGTAAACATTTTGTGTGAGTTGTTTAAATAAAATTGGCTCAGGTAAGTATCACCATCTAAGTACATTTGCAAAATACATTTTGATTATTTCATATTGTAGTGTTTGTTAGAAAAATTGTATAACGGTGAAAGGTTTTTATAATATAGATTTTAAGCTAAAGGCACTTCAGTTGTCGTATTATTATTTGCTTGATCACGATAATTAATCTGCTCGAGATCTTCAAATGGATCGGGAAACGGTGGTGGTCCGAATGGAGATTGATTGATCGGCAACCATGTTATTCGCGGATTGTGACAGTAAAAATGATGATTGACTTGGTTTAGTTTTACGCATTTAAGTGCAGAGCCCACTGACCAAAATCCTCTTTCCCTTAAATCACTAACACATACACCAGGTGGAATTATAACATAATGACCGTGTAATTCGTGTTGCCTATGTAATAAAATAAAGTTTTGAATATTTGAGCTGGACAAAATATCAATTTTAATAATGATTGAATGTTTTGAAAATGAATTAACTGTAACTATGTCATTTGTATCGAGTCACTGAATGTTTCTATCAAATAATGGCAGATTCAAACCAATCAGTTGAAATGACTTATCCAAAGACCTCGTATGTACACTGATGATACTGATAATTTTGAATCGGCAACTCACCTAATCACAACCAGATATACGATTGTTTTTGGTGGAGACATTCCTATCAAGACATATAGACTCTTGTAAATCTTTATCATATCAATCTATTCAATACATCACGTCTTGTAATATAATCCACTCAAGATTGTGGCGCAAAATTATTTTGTCAAGTTATGTTGGTCAAAGTCTGTAATTTATTTATTTCCTCTAACTAATTAAAAGTTTGCTGTGTATCATGACTCAGTCAGCAGACATTCAAAGAGATTTTTTTTGACTACGAACACATACTCAGTATTATGAACGAATTCGAAATGGGTTGTTTTCACAATTTTTTCCTTCTATAATTTGTATAAATGTTTCATTATCCTGAGAGCAAACATCTTGAAAACTAGATGTAATAGGTACTCTATGAAAGTGAAGTTTTCATTGTTCGGATATGAATGAAATGTTTCAGGATTTTAGCCCGCTTAACGCTTGTATAGATGTAAGCGGATCAATTATGTACATGCAACTTCATGACGCTGACTGATTGTGACTAGAATACAATGCTACACTGATTGCAGTTAACTGTTGATTCGATTTCAGTTTTCAAAATAACTGTCTTACAAACAACAGTCACTATCACTCAGAACGTATGACATGATTAGTACAGTGTTTCATATTATTTAAAACTCGTCAGCTGGATGTATCTGCATCCTACATTTGATGTTCACTGATCGATTGCAATCCTAAGCAGCAAGCGAACAATATCAAGTGAACTGGTGTATTTCAATTGTGATAAAATCCTCTTTGAATTGTTCCATATTGATTGTATTTCGTACAAATTACTACAAGGTATCCAGTTTAACTTCATGAATACACTATTTAATATGTGAAAAAGTATCGGCTTAGTTTTCTTGTTCTTGTCAATGAAATACATCTAGAGCTCATTGTGATAATCTTATGTAGTAAGTCTAAATATAATTAATAATGCTAGATACTTGGATATTAGGAAAGACATTTCAGTAGAGTAAAATTTTGCGAAAATCATAAATAAGGATGGGAATTAATTACGCACAGGAAGTGACCGAATAATCTACCATTTCAAAATGTGTAACATTCATTCCACATAAAACATATAAGTGAGTAATATTTTAGGAACTTACGAATACACGATCCAGTATCTCGTTGTCAAATAACTTCGATGTGAACAAATCATATTTGTATAATACATAAAATATGGGTCAATATAACTATTACTGTCGCAATAATCAACCCAATAATGTCGTCCAAAAAGTGAAGCAAACAACCGTAAACAGTCTGATGATTGCAGGGTTGCCTGCAACAGAGTGGATTGTGATTCAGTCGAATTGATGTGAGACTCAGTAGTATTTACCACTGTCTCATGTGACCATTCTATGAAGCATGTAAGTACAACAAACAGGATGATGAAACTAGCTGACATTATTCTTCGTGAACCAATGGAATAAACTTGTGTAGTTCCATTTATACTCTTTCCAAGCATATGATTTGGGTCAAGTTTAGCACACTGATCCCGTGATAATTCTAAATGTCATATTGTGAGAGACATTTATAAATTCTTCAACACGTATTTGTATGAGATTATTCTAATGATTTCTTATCAATGACCATATATACTAGTTGTAACTAGATCACACATAATAGTTCAGTTGATTGCAAGAAATGGAAGTGCTATTATCTTAAGAAAGACCGATTCAACAGATGCATTTTTAAATCTGTGTACAATGACAAATTTGTGGTTATTCTTCGAAGTGATAATAATTGCAATAATGATGACAATAAATATACTACCTTCTAGTAATCGAGCAACACGAGTTTGGCGAAAACATAAGTGTTTTCTGCATACCGAAATGTCTGTACAATATTATTCAGTGTTTATCACAAGATTCATCCTACAACATTCGTCAATAACGATAGGAAATCAGAGACGAACGTTATCAAAGAGAGTGTAAATTATTCTAATTTCCATAGTTTATTGCCATCAGCTCTAGTTTGCTGCACACCTAGAAGACCATTTTGTAAGTAATGATTCATCTGTTGTAACTCCGAATCTCTTTAAATGGTCGTTATGAGAAGGGCTCTCACTGCATACATAAAACTCACTTTTGCGTGTTCTGTAAAGAAAATCACAGCAACTTCAGAATGTTTGTTATCATCAGTGTAATTACTTATTAAACGAGATAAGTTGTCTTGCCGACAAAACTCTTCTGTCCATCTGTACTGAACTCCAAAGCAATAATTTTTACAATTGAACTTGAAAACAAACAAACTATTCACATTCTAGATGTTTAAATGACAAGGAAATGCAACGGGATTTCAAGAAGATCCATTTACAAGAAACCCTTGTGGAATGATTAGCAACTGGAAACAACTGGAAAGGATTTGCGAGGACAGAGTTGGATGGAGAATGCTGGTGAGCGTCCTATGCTCCTTCATTGGGGATAACAGGCGTTTATTATTAGACATATGAATAAATCTTGGTAATAAGATAACTTAAGAGATACATTGAATTCAAGTTAATCATTATGAGTCAAGTATCAGTGAATAAATTACAGTTTACACCTTCGTGAATGTGCACTGTTAAGAAGTCCCACAGTGGAACGAAACGGCCGTCCAGTGTCCCCAGATTTTCCATGGTAGTCGAGCTTCAGTTGAATCATGATTTCAACTATTGAAATGACTGAAATCTCCGCAAAACCCCTTCTGAAAATAAAGTATTTATTGTATGGTTCTCGAATGTTACATGATATTATGTAATTTTGTGTTCAAATACATTCGATTGTCTTCACTTATGTTCTCGTTCACTACAATATATATATATATATATATATATAACTTCGAATATATTACTCGATTCAAAATAACGTTTTTAAACAACCCACCCTGATTGCTATTTTATTCTTTATGTATATGAAAATGGTCACTACCACGTGATCCAGGAAAAAAACCGAAAAAAAGAGAAAGAAATAAAAAGAAAAGAAAAACAATACAACGTCATGAACCCAAATATGAGATGATGTAGAAACATTTAAGGTAATTAAAATATTTGAAAATAGATTAATTGTAATCTTAAGAAATTGTATTCAATTGAAATAACCATTGACTGGTCACTATGAATTTCGGATTAGATAATAATAAATGTACGTGATTTAGCTTTAGATTTAGAAAACAGATTCATTTAATGGTATCAATGGAATTTTAAATCTAACTTAATGACTACAGAGTGTATAGATTTGAATAGTCTCTAATGTTAATGGTAAATACAGTAACTTTATAATTATTCGCTGATTTAGCGATGTAATCGATGCCTTGACAACTAACGATTTGAACTATAACAATCTGTAATATTTTCGTTCTTTTTTTTTGTTTTATATCAAAAACTGTATTTTCAGATAAATCATGAATTTTGGTCTCGAGATTTAGGTTACAATCAGGTTTATGAATGACAGTCTTTGAAATGATAATATAGCGTTTATAGCTATTCTGAATCTTAACATGACGAATATAATAAATATCAGTATAAGGGTTATGTAGATTAATAAGTTTTTGATTGAGATCATGAGCCAATTGATGTGCGACCATAATTGAAAACGTGGAAACACTAGACGACCGACTCGTACCATTGTGGGACCCCTCAGCAGTGCGTATCCACGATCCCACTCACGGGACTCGAACTCAGGTCCTTCAGTCTCGCGCGCGAACGCCTAATATTGTTTAGCCAAATGAATGAATGAATTTGACTCAGAAATGAAAGAGGCTCTATTGGATTAGTTAATCTATAAAGCATGGTACAATCAGGTCAATGTTTTCTAACCACCATCTTATCTCAACATAATGCACACAATGTTGAGTCACCTATATTAGTGGCCTAATTGCTACTTGATCAATAGCATTCGATCTGCACTAAGAACGACCTGACACACATGACTTTTCTCACCCACCACCCAGTGATCAATCAAGTGAACTTTTATTCACCCTGATAACAAAATGATGACTCTAACCAAAAATACATTCATTCTATATTGATTCGTACATACATTTGACCATAAATCTAAAAAAAAGTATGTCATATATACAAAAAATGCTCAGAATCATAAACAGTTCACATACTACATGTCACATGAATTCGATACAATGAATATAATGTCTTTAATAACCATCGTAAATGAAATAAATCAATATTATATAATAGATAAAATATCATATTGAATTAGAAACGGGTTGTAACGTTGAACAAGGATCGGCGTGACTCTAATTTATGGATGACCTTTGAACGAATCTTAAGTGCCCTTGAGAGTATAGAGTAAAATATATATTATACAAAACTAAGAAAATTAAAAAGGATACACTTCTTTTACATGGTTCAAAAATTTTTCAAGGTTAGAAAGAGGTTCAGAGGTTTTAAAATCGTGATGTATAAGATAGAGGAAATCAATTATATAGCTCCATAATAGTTGGCCTCTGGAAGTATGATAAGATCAGAAAAAAATTCTTTCAGCCTCGAACACATAGCTTTAATATTATTTGTATGCACTCCAGCTGTTGGGTACACAAAATGCCACTTATGGATAACGACACGATGCACATAACTATGTGTATATAGGCGTCTGTACACACTCCAATCATCCTTATATACTGTACTACCTGGCTGTAGCCTGTAACACTGGTGCTTTAGTTATCCAGTTCGAAGCAGTTGTCATAATTTGCCTTAGTTTCAAGTTGAATCGAACGAAGACATCCTATCTTAGCAAACGTATTCCTCCAACACATATTACATCTAAAGATAACATTATCATGGTAGTCTGAACAAAGTTCACAAGTCATTTGACTACCACAATCATAAATAAAGGATGTTCTTAGTAGTCCCATGTATTCTAGCCGTTAAATTATCCCGTTTTATCTAAAGTCCGCTGTGAACCGATCGTACGTCAGCATCAGATACGGAAACTGGTGTTGTGATAGTGAAATCCCTCAAATGATTCCGATTGACTTGTCTATAAATTATAGTCTAGTCCAAGAATCAGAATAAGTTTTAAATGTAAACATATCATTTCGTCTCAACAAATCAGTGAGAAAAAAACTTTTTCACTATCGTTTTAAACACTTTTCAAAGTGTTTTTTTCATTTGGAATAGTTGAATTCAGCGGATAAGCCTAAAACAAACATTCTAAATTTTAGTTGCCTTGTCTTCATACTAACATAGAAACTTTACTCGTTCTTTCTATGCACATGTCGAAATTTGAACACAAAATAAAACAGAAAATGAGCAGTGAATATACCGATGGAATTGTATATAATAAGAAAATTTAAATCGTGGATGATATCTTATCTGAAGAAGTTCGGACAAGACTGATGAATGAAATCCTGGAATTATTCAAATTTCGATCGCTGAGATTATTTAAATACAACTTTTTTACTTAATATTATCAATAACATGAAGCTTATGGTTTATTAGTTAGCTCGAGTACATTTATGCGAAACAACATAGGTAAATAATCTTCAATTCATTTATCTGATAGTTGCTGTTAGGTTCGTTTGTATTCTGTCCTTATTCTCAGTCCAATCAATTCTTTTTGTTTATTATTTATACTACTTAAAAATAGTTAGTAACCAGTTGCATTTCAACCAATTTCTTAATGTATGGTGTAGTATACGTTAATTGTGCAATATTCCCGAGTATTTACATAAGCTAAAATTATTTGTTCATGTATTATTACTATTATTATTATTAAGTGCCCTCAAAATTTATAACAGTTGCTTCCAGAAATGCAAAAGCTTCCACATTCGTGTGCTAGTAACCTCAATTTCAATTATTGATAGTTATGATTGAGTTTAGACAAACTACAGCCTGTCATTGACGCTACTATATGTTGTAAAAACACTTTATATTGTGATTCCAAAAGACCTTGTTCTATCTGTAAGTACAAACCCGTTAAACATCACAGTTACCTAGTGAGTTGAGGTCTGTAACAAATTTATTTATAATTTGTAATGACAGAACAATTCTTTCGATATATTGTTTTAAACCTCGATTTCAATCACATCTCAATCACGTAGATGGGTGTTCTGATGAATACCTTTTAGATAATCGTATTTAAATGCCTAATATTCACTCTATGAACATAATATCTATTTGTCATAACTCAGCAGAATTTACTGACTTTCTCTGATGTTAACCAATTAGACTTAATTCAATGTATTTTGTATTTCTGTTAAGAATGTATTCACAGTTTGATCCAAGTGAGTACGACTGATTCCTTAGAGTTTATTCTACACAATACTGACTGCCGTGACAAAAAATGTATGAATGAATGAAAAACGCTATTCTTAAAGATACAAACATCTCAATTTGTTGATGTGTATT